TTAATTTTTTTATTTTTTACATAAATTAATGCATAATAAATTATAAAAAATATAATAAATGGTCTTTTATCATGTGGCTTTAGAAAAACCTTTATAATTATTATTTGTTAGTGTGGATCCTCAAAAATGCTCGGTAAAATTAAAATATTTTATTTTATTTTAAAAAAATTTCCCACATAAAATTAAAAAATAATTAAAAAATCAAAAATTAAATTTTAAAATGACTTTTAAACAAAATTTAAGTACCCTATTTTTATAAGTTTTCAACTCGTGAGCTGTGCAATTAAAAAAAAAAAAAAGCCATAAAAAAAGAGTGAGCGTGATTGAGGCTATTGAAAGTTGAAAGTTGGGGTGCTCGTGAATAGAAAACCTATAAAAGTTATGAGAGCAAAATAAGCAAAGGTGGAGAATGAAAAGAATTTCAATTCCCCAATACATGGGGCTTTTTTCAATGGTTGGAGATTAAAACCTATGTGGAGGAGAGGAGAGGACTTGACTTGGATTGCACCATCCCATATACCCAAATGGAGGTGACCTGACCTGACCCAACCAAGTGGCACAGTCATTGTGGTTTGAAATTTAAATGAAGTGACACACAACTAGCTCATCATCGATTCCCGCCTTTTCACCTGTCCCCCACTTCTGTTCTCTTCTCCCCCTCCCCCTAGTCTGTCTAACATCAAAGAGAAGACAATTCACGTTAAGAAAACTAAACACTTTAGATGTAAGTTTGGCATGCATACACGAACCACGCAACAAAAAGTTTACTTTTAGAATTAAGACCACATACACTATAATTTAATACAACAATGTGACTTGGAAAGTTATACAGTACAACATCATAACTAAGTAAAACTAGATCTATTTTGGTCAATTAAGACTGTTATCAAAATCCCATTTTGCAATTCCTAGAGAAAACCCATGGTTGTAAAACTGATAAACATGACCATAATATGTAGACTACACCATAGCAGGATACATTCCTCAGCACCCCAACATCCACCTAAACTGCTGCAGGATCATTTATTACACCTAAGAAGTCATCCTTGATGGTACCAATACAGAACTGCAACAGAAGAACATTCGTTAGATGAATAACCGGCATGTATGAACAAGTTCGATGACAGTGAATAATGCTCATCATCACAAAGTTAATTCATACTTGATTTTTGATCCTATAGCTCAGGGAACTAACAAGAAATTGTCACTTGTGTTCAAGTTTGGACACCCAACACAATGAAAAGGATATCATTGACGAGGATCAAGAACTACTGCATAGTTATTTAAGGTATTTGGGATTCTTATGAAATTATTTTTTGATTCCTGTGCAATTTTAGATTATTATTATTATTATTATTAGTTTTCCCAGTTTTAATTTAAAAGTCTTATTAAGAGTATATTTATTATGAGTCTAAGTTCTATTCTAGTAGAATGGGAATTCTATTTCTTAACTTTTTAACCTTTTGAACATGAATTACAATTGAAAGTTTTCTTTTTCCTATTTGCAGTTCTTGTTGAGTAGTTTCATTTGATTAAAAGAAAATTTTTTTCAATTGTCATTTATATGCTATGTCACATTTTCATGGAAAACCAAAAAGTCAAACTACGATAATTAAAGTTGAACAGAGGTGGTATAACCCTTTAAGGCCCCAATACTACAGTAAAAAGCATGTAGAATGTCTTGAAAATAGCTTTAAATGGTGTTGGGATTTTTCTACCTTACAAGATGTTCAAGCCATTAATTTCATCTTTCCAACAGAGTATGGCACCAAACAAACCTCTATATTATCAAGCTTGCTGGATTCAAAAGAAGAATTCACATCAAGTGCTACCACTAAGAGGCTGTTTGGTGCAGTTTATTTTTTGAGTTGCTTGTAGATAACTTTTACCTTCACAAATTTCAAATTCTGTTGCAGGGAAAGCTTACTTTTTAGTATTCTTGGAGCATATAAACAAGTTCTACAATAACTGAAATTGAAATTCTTTTCTAAAACTTGCTTACAAGCTTTTAAAATGCTAAAAATAAACTTTTCACTCCAACAAAATTTGAGATTTGTCAGAGAAAAAGTTGCTTATAAGCAACTGAAAAAAATAACCTCCACCAACTGCCCCCCCTAAAGCAGTTTGTGACCTCAAGAATTCTACTACTTCAATATCTCAAAACTTGAGGCCAAGTTTTCTCCAACAAGGGGAAAATGATAATAAAAAAGTTATTTGATAATATTCAGATATATTCAACAAGAGTTTTCTCTTGAGAATGTGTGAAGCAATCTTGATTGCGTGATGCATTCAACCTTAGATGTGATGATGAAGGAAGTTCAATCTCTCTGCTATGCCTAAAAAAGACCCAGGTGTGACTCTAGGCTTGTTCTATCTTTCTCTTTTCATTATCCTTTCTATACCCTTGCACCCCCAAACCAGTCCTTTAAGCATAATTTGACCCGCATCAGGAATATATCAAATTATATGTTTCTAAGAACCTATGAGTCTTAATAAGACAATCAATAACAATAAATGATAAATTTCAAAAATAAAATCATTTTAGAAACTCACCACTTCAAATTCCATTAAACCCTGTCCTTACCGTGGTCCCCAATAGTGCTCAGATGATATGATGACACAAACCCAAAGAAAAATTATTGATATTCATCCCTCTATTAGGATTTTAGAAAAAATAGTCATCATATTGAAACAGCAAACAACAGTCAAAAACATTCTAACACAACAAAGATAATAAGAACACTTGAAAACCTATGATTACAAACAAACAAAGGTGTACAAATGAATTGCTAAGAAGTGAAAGTGATACAATAATTTAAACAAGAATGGATGAGCACATACAATTTCTGTGGCATCTACTCGAGTTCCAATTATCTTCAGGCGGACTTCAGTATCCTTCTGAATCTTAACCTGGAAGAAGCATAAGTGAGAGACTAAAAGAACACATCTGTGCAAAAGAAAACTAACAATTACTTGTTTTTGAAAGAATAAGCTAAACCATACCGATCCATCTGAAGTAGTATAGTTGGGAATATCTCCAGATTGAAACTCCATATCATCCGGAATCAACTACCAAAATAAAAACCATTATCAATAGAGATGCAAAAGACATGTATGGCATAATCAGTTAATCACAGGTCAAGGACATAAAGTATGAGCAATTAAAGATGCCCAATTTTGTAATCCACCCAGCAAAAAACGAATTCTGCAACATTTTCTACAGAGATTGGCCCAACCCTAAAGAATTATGTTTAATTTATGTAATATGTTTCTTCTGAGTAATATGCTGTTTTGTTACATTAGATAAAGAACTTATTTAATTTATCAAATTTATGTTTCTTTGTAGTTTGTATTACTGTCTTGCTTTTAATGTAGCTTGTTAAGTGTATGCAAGTGGAGTTCCTAAGTTCCTCATTAGTAAGCTTCATCATACATCAAATGGCCAAGTGGCAAGAAGTAAAGCATTTCAACCCCAAAAAAGAAGAAAGAAAAGGAAACAAAACATGTTAGCTCTTCCATGTCAATTCCTAAACACAGTAGTTAATTTCAATCAAAGGAGTTCTATTTTTTGTGGGACATAGAAAAGCTCAATGAAAACACTAAATGCTTAGACCTTGTAAATTTCATCAAGGTACAGAAAATTCAAGTTTTCATCAACAATAGCCACAATGTAAGCAATAAACAAAAAGGAAAATGCATTACTGCCAAGCAAACTGACATCGCACAGAGGGCATAGATTTGAATGGAAAAATGAAAATGCTTGTCACAAGATGAATATAGTGATCCTCTTGGAGCAGAAACCTTATTAAAAAGGGAAAAATACTTACATGGTTTGAAACGAAAATTTGAACAGGTCCAGCTTCTGCAAAGAATCCCATCTGTAGGAATCCCAAATGCAGTTATCAGTAAAACAATAGAAATCGATGGTTCATAAGATAATCTTATCATCAAGTCAGGAGAGTAGCAAACAGAAAACAGTTACCTTGTTGACCATAGTCACAACAGCTTCTAAGATCTCGCCTTTAAATGGTCTAAAGACAACACATTGATACTTCACAGGGAATGTTACAAATCCTGTACCATCACGAATCAAGCCTTTCCCAACATTCTCTATACCTGTTATAGCTACCACGAACCCATGTCGCCCACTGCAGCAAATCAGAATACACATTCCCAACTTATTCTCTTTTTTTTTTTTTTTTTTTTTGGGGGGGGGGGGGTGAGGAAGGGTTAAAACTTAAAATTAATCAACCATCCAATTTATCAGCAAGAAAACTAAGATTTAACCAACAAAATTTAATTATCTAGAACCCAACAGATCCTCTACTGTGGTTCTATTTTTATCAAATCCAATCAAATAAATTGATAGTGCCACAGCCAAGATGGAAACACACTCCGAAACAACCTAAAAAGCGAAGAGAAATGAAATTGAGAAATAAAATAAAACAAAAATAAAAAGACAAAAACCTGCAAGTGCCCTCGACATCTTTCATGAGCTTGGATACGAGGTTTTCACGGAGGTTGCGGCCGAAGTGGCGCGGATGCAGCTGCATGTTCCGCTCCAATACTATGTGGAAGAACATGTTTGAGAGTGAAGAATGAGAGTTCCTCTCTCTATGGATTCTGGGTTTAGCAAGGAGGAAGAGAAAAAGTTAGGGTTTTTAGAAGGTAACTCTCAATCGATGAGAAATCTATGTAATTCAATTCCAACATGAAATGTTAACTCTCTTGTTCTTGATTGATTTACGCTGGTTAAGAGAAAACTGCTTACAAATTGAAGATGGAGAAGAAAGAGTAAGACCCGTTAACAGCTAAGTTGCAGGGGAAGAGAGAATATAGACGGCGATCACCTCAAACGACGGCGGAGCCAGGCCTTTTTTTTTGTGGAGAAAGAAGACGAGAAAGACAGTTGATCTGGGTTTTATATGTCTCTTAAAGAAGCGTTTAAACCCTCATTTTCCATCCCCCAACTTTTGTGCAATACCATTTGGCCTCCTTCGCTTGTAAAATCTCCTTTTTAGCCTTTAAACTTTTATTTTCGAAAGAGGCCACTGTGTTATTGCTTATTTTATTTTGGGTTAAAGACAACTGTAGTCCTCGTACTTTGTAAAAATGTTCATTACCATCCCTCTACTAAGGAAATGTTCAATGTCATCCCTCTACTTTTCTTACACCATAAGTCCTCGTACTTTGTAAAAATGTTCATTACCATCCCTCTACTAAGGAAATGTTCAATGTCATCCCTCTACTTTTCTTACACCATAAATGTCATCCCTCTACTATCCTTTTTTTGTTCAATGTCATCCTTAATTGGATGCCATCCATTTTGCTGTTAACTTTCACCGTTAATTGCTTAACAGTCAAATATTCAACTTTTGTTTATGAATTTTTCTAAGAGCATATATTAATGATACTTTTTTGTAATAAATTTGTATAAGAAAATATAAAAGTAAACATTAATTTTAATATTATTGTCATATAAATAAATTTAATTAGATAGTTAATAAATTAAATATTACTTTTTATTTTTTTAAAACTTTTAATTAGTGCCCTAAAAACATAAATTAAAATAACCCTTAAGACACATTAGAATAACATTTTGTTTATTAATTTTCATAAAATTGTCTAACATCTAGACTTGAGCATTTTTCCTTCGTCACTAATTAAAGCAATACAATAGAAAATTATTTGGATTGGACTGACCCCGAGATTTATAGCACAAGTTAACTTCTATTAATTAATTTTTTATCCACTAACATAATTTGTTAACTCTTTATTAAAATAAAAAAAATATTTATAAGACCAATTATCAAAAATTAAAAATGTAACAATTTAATTCCAAAAGTTTAAAAAATAAAAAAAATTAATAACTTAAAAATAATTAGTAATTGATTTTATTGGGTGTACCAATCATGGTCCAAAAATAAAGAAAATATTTGAGAAAAAACAATTTCAAAATGATTCAATCCGCATAAAAAATAAGTATTTCTT